CCCGATTGGTGGGGGCGCGAGAGTGTGTGACGGTGGTGGGGAGCGAGAGTGTGTTACGGTGGTGGGGAGCGAGAGAGTGTGTCGTGGGGCTGAGGAGCGAGAAGTGTGTGACGGTGGCTGGGAGCGAGAGTGTGTGTATGGGGGGTGGGTGGGGAGCGACGAGTGTGTGAGCGGTGGGTGGGGAGCGAGAGTGGTGTACCGTGGTGGCAGGGAGCGAGAGAGTGTGTCGGTGGGTGGTGGAGCGAGGAGTGTCGTGTCGGTGGGTGGGGACGAGAGTGTGTGTTGGTGGGTGGGGAGCGAGAGTGTGTGTCGGTGGGTGGGGAGCGAGAGTGTGTGTCGGTGGGTGGGGAGCGAGAGTGTGTGACGGTGGGTGGGGAGCGAGAGTGTGTGTCGGTGGGCGGGGAAGCGAAGAGTGTGTGTCGGTGGGTGGCGAAGAGGTTGTCAGTGGTGGGAGCGAGAGTGTGTGTCGATGGCGCGGGGGAGCGAGAATTGTGTGTGTTCGGTGGGTGGCGAGCGAGAGTGGTGGTGCATCGGTGGTGGGCGAGCGAGAGTGTGTTGATCGGTGGGTGGGAGCGAGAGTGTGCTGTCGGTGGGTGAGGAGCGAAGTGTGTGTGCGGTGGGTGGAGAGCAAAGAGTGTGTGAGGTGGGTGGGGAGAGCGAGAGTGTGTGACGGTGGGTGGGAGCGACGAGTGTGTGTCGGTGGTGGGAGCGAGAGTTAGTGTGCTCGGTGGGCGGGGAGCGAGAGTGTGTGTCGGTGGCGGGGAGCGAGAGTGTTAGTCGGTGGTGGAGGAGCGAGAAGTGTTTTGTCTGGTGGTGGGGAGCGAGAGTGTTGTGTCGTGGTGGGACGAGAGTCTGGTGTCGGTGGTGGGCGAGCGGAGTGTGTGACGGGTGGGTTGGGGGCGAGAGTGTGTGTCGGTGGGTGGGGAAAGCGAGATGTGTGTGTCGGTGGTGGGGACGAGGAGTGTGTGAACGTGTGGGTGGGGAGCGAGAGTGGGGTGACGGTGGTGGGGAGGGGCAGAGTGTGTGACGGTGGGTGGGGACGCGAGACGTGTGTGTACGTGGGTGGAAGGCGAGAGTGTGTGTCGGTGGGTGGGAGCGAGAGTCGTGTGACGGTGGGCTGGGGAGCGGAGAGTGCTGGTCGGTGGGGCACGGGAGCGACGAGTGTGTGTCGGTCGGTGGGCGAGCGAGAAAGTGTGTGAAGCGGTGCGGCGTGGGGAGCAGAGAGTTGTGTTAGAGGTGGGGAGCGAGAGTGATGTGTCCGGTGGGTGGGGAGGGCGAGAGTGTGTGTCGGTGGGGCGGGAGCGAGAGCTGTGTGTCGTGGCTGGAGCAGCGAGAGTGATGTGTCTGTCGGGTGGGGAGCGGGTGTGGTGTCGGCTGGGTGGGGAGCCGAGAAGTGTGGATCGGGGGTGGGGGAGCGAGAGTGTGTAGACGGTGGGTGGGGGAGGCGAGAGTGTGTGTCCGTGGGTGGGGACGAAGAGTGTGTGTTAGTGGGCAGGGAGAGAGAATAATGTGATGTGGGTGGGAGCGAGAGCTGTGTGACGGTGGTGGTGGAGCCGAGGAGTGTGTGACAGGTGGGTGGGGATGCGAGAGTGTGTGACGGTTGGTGGAGCGAAGTGCGTGTTGTGGGGGGAGCGAGAGGTCGTGTGTCCGTGGGTGGGGAGCGGAGAGTGTGTTTGTCGTGGGTGGGAGGCCGAGAGTGTGGTCGGTGGTGGGAGCGGAGGTGTGTGAGGTGGGTGGGGACGTAGAGTGCGGTGGGTGGGGAGGAGAGCGTGTGACGGTGGTGGGGAGGCGAGCAGGTGTGTGTCGGGGGTGCGGGAGCGAGAGCTGTAGTGACGGTGGGTGGGGAGCGACGAGTTGTGACGGTGGTGGGAGCGAGAGTGTGTGTCGTGGGTGGGGACGAGAGTGTGTGTCTGGGGGTGGGGAGCGAGAGTGTGTGTCGGTGGGTGGGGAGCGAGAGTGTGTGTCGGTGGTGGGAGCGAGAGGTGTGTGTCGGTGGGTGGGGAGGCGAGAGTGTGTGGTCGTGGGTGGGAGGCGAGAGTGTGTGTCCGGTGGTGGGAAGCGAGAGTCGTGTGTCGGTGGGTGGGAGCGAGAGTGTGTGTGTGGTGGGTGGCGGAGCGAGGAGTGTGTTGTCGGTGGGTGGGGAGGCGGAGAAGTGTGTGGGGAGCGAGAGTGTGTGTTCGTGGGTGGGGGGGAGCGAGAGTGTGTGTCGGTGGGTGGGGAGCGAGAGTGTGTGTCGGTGGGTGGGGAGCGAGAGGTGCGTGTGTCGGTGGGGTGGGGAGCGAGAGTGTGTGTCGGTGGGCTGGGGAGGCGGAGAGTGTGTGTCGGTGGGCGTTGGAGCGAGGGAGTGTGTGAGGTGGTGGGGAGCGAGAGTGTGTGTCCGTGGTGGGGAGCGAGAGTGGGTGTCGTGGGTGGGACGAGAGTGTGTGTCGGGTGGGTGGGGAGCGAGAGTGTGTGTCCGGTGGTGGGGAAGCGAGAGGAGTGTGTGTTGGTGAGTGGGGAGCGAGAGTGGTGACGGTGGGTGGGTAGCGATGAGTGTGTGTCGGTGGTGGGTGTGAGCGAGTGGCTGTTGGTGGGTGGGGAGCGAGAGTGTGTGTATCGTGGGTGGAGCGAGAACGTGTTGTGACGTGTGGTGGGAGCGAGAGTGTGTGTCGGTGGGTGGGACCGAGATAGGTGTGTCGGTGGTGAGAGCAAGAGTGTGTGTTAGAGGCAGGGAGCGAGTGTGTGTGTCGGTGGGTGAGAACAGCGAAGAGTGTGTGTCGGTGGTGGGAGCGAGATGTGTGTGTCGGTGGGCTGGGGAGGCGATGAGTCGTGTGTCGGTGGGTGGGGAGTGAGAGTGTGTAGAGCGGTGGTGGGGAGCGAGAGTGTGTGTGGTGGTGGGAGCGAGAGTGTGTGTCGGTGGGCGTGGGGAGGGAGAGTGTGTGTCGGTGGGCCGGGGAGGCTGAGAGTGTGACACAGGGTAGGTTTGGTGGAGAAACGGTGATATCAACGATGTCAACAAAGCTACATGACAGGGTGTGTGTCTGTGTCAGTGGGGCAGGAGCAGTGTTGTGTGTGTGTGTGTGCTGTGCGGGGTCGTGTGTGTGTTGTGTGTGTTGTGTGTGTGTGTGTTCGGTGTGTGCTGTGGTGTGTGTGTGTGTTGTGTGTGTGTGTGTGTGTGTCGTGTAAGGGGAGGGCATTGTGAGTCGTTGTCAGTGGGGCAAGGTTTGGTGAGAAACGAATTAAAATAAGCGACGTCACCAAAGCTACACGCGTAACGTTGATAGAGAAACGATAATATCAACAACATCCACAAAGCTACACGATAGTGTTGCTGGAGAAACTGTAATATCAACGATGTCAACAAAGCTACACGCGTAGCATTGATGGAGAAACAGCTACATCGACCTCTACATAAGGAGCATGAAAAATCCCCCCCCCCCCCCCGCGTCCTAATCTACCTTTTTTGAGAAATGTACATAATTGCATATATTTACTCGTTCGTGGTAATGACTTTACTGTGAGCGTGAGCTTCTTCTTTGCTAGAGTCGGCCTGCTTCAACAAGGCAGACAGCTGCAAGACGGTGATCTGGAAATAAAGAGAGACGACATTCTAAAACTGTAGGTGTCATAATGAAATGACGAGAGACGACATTCTAAAACTGTAGGTGTCATAATGAAATGACGAGAGACGACATTGTAAAACTGTAGGTGTTGTAGCGAAACAAAAGGAGACGATATTCTAATCTCTGCAGAGAAGGGAGATAATACATCTCTATAGGTAAATTGAACCCCCCCCCGCCCCACACACATCACCGCCCCCGCCTCGTATTTCTTCCCCGCCCAATCATGTGGTAACCAGGCTCTCTCGCTCTCTCGCTCTCTCGCTCTCTCTCTCTCCCTCTCTCTCTCTGACTCTCTCTCTCTCTCTCTCCCTTGCTGCAGGCGCTCTGGCTTCCCGGCTCGCAGACGGAGCTCGCGATCGTCACCGCGGACTTCGTGAAGGTGTACGACCTCGCGGCGGACGCGCTCAGCCCGCAGTACTACTTCCTGCTGCCGAGCGGGCGGCTGCGCGACTGCTGCTTCGTGTTCAGCGACGATCAGCGAGCGATGCTGGCGATGTCGTCGTCGGGGCACCTCTACGCGCAGTTCATGCAGGACTACAGCCGCGCCGTGCACGGGCCCTTCTACGTGACGAACGTCATCGAGGTAACCGTCGCCATTGTTACGGTGTGCGCGTGCGGCGGTGCAGTGACTGGTGGCTTGTCGTTCGGCTATGGTGTAGTAGGTGTATGGTGTAGTATGGTGTAGTAGGTGTATGGTGTAGTATGGTGTAGTAGGTGTATGCAGTATGGTGTAGTATGGTGTAGTAGGTATGTCCGGTATGGTGTAGTATAGGATACGCTGCAACGTCTCACGTCGCTAAAATATTTATTACCCGAACTTTCGATTGTGTGTTCGAATATATTTTTGTACCCAAACTTCGGATGGCATTGCTGAAATGATGTTTTTTACCCGAACTCCCGATTACATTGCTAAAATTGTTTTTTACCCGTACTCCGAAAATGCGTTGCTGAAATGTTTTTTACCAGACTTCCTAATTGTATTGCTAAACCGATGGTTTATAACTTTCGATTGTGTGCTAAAATATTTTTAAGCCTGAACTTCAGATTGCGTTACTCCCGATTTCAATGATTATGCGATGTTATTTTGCGAAAAACGTAGGTCTGTAGAGTCAAGCTACCCCTCTCGCCACACAACTCCCATGTGTTTCATCCATTATTCTCTCTATCTCTATTAATCAAGGTCAACCACCAGGATCTGAAGGACAGTGGTGGGCAGGTGGCCGGCGGCGGCGTCTCCGTCTACTACTCACACGCCCTACAGCTGCTCTTCTTCTCCTTCCCTCTCCCTCTCCTCCTCCTCAAGGTCAATCACCAGGATCTCTCTCTCTCTCTCTGTAGGTCAACCACCAGGATCTGAAGGACAGCGGCGGGCAGGTGGCTGGCGGCGGCGTCTCCGTCTACTACTCGCACGCCCTACAGCTGCTCTTCTTCTCCTTCCCTCTCCCTCTCCTCCTCCTCAAGGTTAATCACCAGGATCTCTCTCTCTCTCTGTAGGTCAACCACCAGGATCTGAAGGACAGCGGCGGGCAGGTGGCCGGCGGCGGCGTCTCCGTCTACTACTCACACGCCCTACAGCTGCTCTTCTTCTCCTTCCCTCTCCCTCTCCTCCTCCTCCAGGTTAATCACCAGGATCTCTCTCTCTCTCTCTGTAGGTCAACCACCAGGATCTGAAGGACAGTGGCGGGCAGGTGGCTGGCGGCGGCGTCTCCGTCTACTACTCGCACGCCCTACAGCTGCTCTTCTTCTCCTTCCCTCTCCTTCTCCTCCTTCTCAAGGTTAATCAACAGGATCTCTCCCTCACTCTGTAGGTCAACCACCAGGATCTGAAGGACAGTGGCGGGCAGGTGGCTGGCGGCGGCGTCTACGTCTACTACTCGCATGCCCTACAGCTGCT